AACAGCACGCAAAACACCACCCAGAGCTCAAAACATCCAACTCAGCAAATTACCCAGAAGAGAAAAAAAAAAACACTCGAGCCCTTCAAGGCGCCATCACCAAGCAACGACAGGCAGGAAGACACACTGATACTCAAGACGCTCATTAGCTTATTGGCCACCTACAAGCAAGCGACGCGATCGTCCAAGGACAAAGAGCAGCCAACGAGCACAAACCCAACGACACGCACATACAGCAACGACTCATCAAGGCTGAAGATACCTTGCAGCAGCTACAAACAACCAACAACTATCAAACAACTGCCATGAAACACGCGAGCAAATACAAACACTACAACATACGGAGATACAACTCCAAGCAAACGAATCAACCGCGATACGACCAGAAGAAGCCGAGCTAAGGCAAGCATAACTCACGGCCAAGCAGGTTTAACAACAACACCAGTAGACTCAGTAGACCGAAGTCACTAGATCTACAGCCGGACTCGATTGGACAAGACGCACGAGAGGACAGAAGACCCTTCCGAGGACCACATTGCCATTGGAGTGTAAGAAGGCACGCGTCGCGAGGCACAGGACACAAGGGTACCCTTGAGCTGGCAGGATCGACCCACTAATCTGGGCCAGCTGTAGGTGGTGCGCGCAGCACCACCAATGACAGGAAGCGCAGCACATCGAGCACAAAAGACGCGAGGGCCAGGGCACAAGAGAGATCCGACAGTGAAGTACTAGCAGCAAGAGGAGCAGCCAACGCAGCGCAGCGACTACAACACAACGAGACAAAGATGTTGGCCAACTATCAAGAAGAACTGGTAAGTTTCATCATGCGATCCAACACAACCGAACACCTCCACACAACCAAAAAACATTACCGACATCGACTAAGTACGGCCGAGCAGTACCAACATGACACGGAATACTACATCAAGCGCCAACAATGCAACTTCGAGAAAAACGTGGAGGCACAAGCACAAACGGAACAATGGAACAAACAACGCCAGTAAGAGTTGTTATACCTGATACGACAAGCACAGCAACCTGAGCAACTACCAGCAGTACCAGACCACGACAACGAACTGGACGAGGACATACGCATCAACCAACTGATGGACCACGAGCAAGCCGTACACGACGAAGAACGACTCGACAGACAACGCCAACGTTCACAAAAAGCTCAGGCGGACGAAGAGGTTAATAAACTACATAATAACTCAGTGACATCATGGACACACTAACGACATCAAGCACAAAGGTTGCCGACAACACCCCAATACAGCTCGACGACGACATACGCAACGGTACCTGCCGACCCAAACAACCAGAAACCATCGACTCGTCACAAGAAGCACCAATCACATCAACCGGGCCACTCACGTCCAAAGCACCACATCACAGATCTACCCCAACCACACCAATCGACATCTACCCGACAGGTACGTCGCAACCACGTACACCAGAGCCACACCACGATACATCATCACTCCAAAACAACAAGAAATAGCAGCGCAATACGAAACACTTCACCAACCCACACAAGAGACATAATACGCCCACCAGCGAAAGGTCACCATTAGAACAAACCCCAACGACCGACCTCAAGCATCACACTCACCACCCAGAAGTGCACTGCAACGTGTACCCACAGAAGACACCAGCAGTACAAACCAAACTATACCAAAATTTCCAGCCTGGCAGACATCGCCAAACAATTGGCACCCGACTCGGCTCACCCTTTTTATTGCTTCACCCAATCTGACTTAGCTCCACGGCCTCCCGGGCCACTAAGTGGAATGAGTGTGACAAGCTACGTAGACCTTAATGGTTCCGATACTGCGGTACCTCACACAACTAGCTCGAGCACACATCACATCAAGCAAACTATTCCCAAACATAAGCTCTGCTCACTGGCAGACTCTAACTCACGCATCCACCTACGTGCGACCTCACGGCCATCGAACTACACCCCGTCACGCAAGCAGCACTTCCATACTACCCCCGCCCACTCACTCCAGCTCAGTTTTACGCGTCTATCCTGATGGCTCCCTACAAGGCACGAAGGATAACTTGGCATAGGAGTTCGCAGCATTCCACGACGACGGACAGCGACCGAGCTACATAGGACAATACACGGGGAACATCACCCGCAGCATGCAAACCGACATCGACTACACCCAGCTCGACAGCACGAGCACATAACTACATAGGCGCCGGAGGCCTGCGAGCGCCTTTTTGCATTTGGCCACAGCAGTGTCGCCTGGCTTGACGACATCCATGCCAGGTGGCGGTGCCTCCAGGCTCCTCGCCAGCAGCAGCGCGAGGAGGGCGAGAGCCAGCGCGAGCGCAGCTGGACCGCGGGCGGCTGCCACCGGCGCCCTTGTCCGCCGTGGGCCTTCCCTTGCGGTCTCGCTCGCAGACCCAGAACGTCTGCCAGCTGGCGAAGTTGTTGGCGAAGCCGCAGGCGCGCGTGGCCACGCGCGGCGAGTTGCCATCTCGCCAAGGGGGCGCGGCTGGGCTAGGCTGCCCGCCCGTGCCGCCGCCGCCCATGGCGAGTTGCTCTCCTGCCTCGCCGTGATGGCCACCGAGCGTCCTCCTCGCCGCTTCCAGGCGGAGGAGGCGTCTGGCCTGGGAGCGCGCCCACCGCTCGCGCCTGTGCCTGGCGGGGGACGGGGCGCGCGTCGCCGCGATGCTGGAACCACCGACGCAGCAGCGCCCGCCGTGCGCGCGGGCCGCTGGCGGCTGGGGGCGGCCTGGCGCGAGCTCCCCAGCCCGAGCCGAGGCGGCCTCCTGGAGGAGGAGGAGGAGGAGGAGGAGGAGGAGGAGGAGGAGGAGGAGGAGGAGGAGGAGGAGGAGGAGGAGCCCAGCGTAGGAGGGCAGGTTCGTCAGCAGCTCAGGCCCCGCGGGTGGGGGGAGGCGGCGGGCCTCCGACCGAATTGACCGCGGCGAAGGGCGACGACGCGCCAGCGTCGAGACAGACAGGCGGCTGGGGGACCAGCTCGGGGGAGGAGCGAGGCGAGACGGCAGAGGGCATCAGGAAGGAGGGCTCGATGGGGCGAGGCGGAGGGGGGGCTGACAAAAGCGGCAGCATCGGCGGCCGCGTCACAATAGAGCGCTGGAGCCTGCCCGACCTCGTTCACGAAGCGGGCAGCCGTATTATATGCCGTTTCGATCGGTGCGGGATGGCAGGCAAGAAAAAGACGGATGATGCCAGGCGGGGAGACGGGCGAGACAGGTGCCTGGACACGAGGCACGGGGCGGCAGGAAGACAGGTGCACGGGCGAAGGAGGCAGACCACCAACGTCAGTGAGGCGACCTGGGATATCAGGCTCGGCTGAGCGATACAAGAGGTGATGCGGCGCAGTGGGAGGTGAGCAGGCAGGGGGCAGGCAGCAGCAAGAGCAGAGCTCAACGGAGTGAAGGACGGGGTGGGGGACGGAAATAGTGATGGCTCATTTTCGGCTGCACCCTCAGATGGCGTGGACCCCGACGCGGGCGGAGGAGCCGTCCTCTGGGCCGACGGAGAGCTCGAAACCGCAGCAGTGGCAGAAATCGGAGAGGACAGCGTCATCGGAGGGCACGGCGACATCGATGGCGAGGGCCCCCGCGGAGAAGGCCGCCAGGGTGGCATCCAGCGATGGGGAGACTCCAGCGCCCCAGGATTTCGTCCGACACGTGGCGACGGCGAGCCCGAACACGACAACGGGACTTGCGATCTAACGCCAAGGGACAGGTGTCCTGAATCACGGCACAAATCGCGTGGCGACGGCGAGCCCGAACACGACAACGGGACTTGCATTCTAACGCCACAGGATGGAGGGTCTCCTTCGAGGCGTCGCAAGCGTAGCGACGTGTAGCCCGAACACGACAACAGGACTTGCGATCTAACGCCAGGGCCCAGAGGGGACGAGTCGAGGCATCCAGATCGTGGCGACGGCGAGCCCGAACACGACAACGGGACTCGCGATCTAACACTGTTGGGTGGCGACGAGGCTGCGGAACAACCAGTCGACAAGGCCGAAGGTGGTGACAACGTCACATAAGAGCGGCGCGACATCGGGGACGGCGAAGAAATTGACGAACTGGAGGCCGCCATTCGCGGAGCACTTGAAGTCACAGACGCTGATGGGGCCGCCCTCTGTGCTGATGGGGAGCGCGACAGCGGCGGAGGCGCAGAGGCAAGAGAGCAGGGAGTCGCCGAAGTCGAAGGACTGCACGTCGCTGGAACCGTGGCTGGGGTACGAACGCGACGAGATGGTGTGGTCGGCACTCTGGATGACGGGCAGACAACCTGCAGAGTTGGAGAGGTGTGCTCAGCCATCTCAATCGGGAGATCATAGCGCACGATAAAAAAAATCCTCGGCTCTCGGGGAATGGAGTGGCGATCGGGAAGGGGACACACTAGCCTGGCTGGCACCCCAACCTGAGGTAGCATGGGGCGTGCTGTCGCCGTCATCGCTAGAGTCGGAGGCCGCGGACGAAGATGAGGGAGACGGGGCGATCAATGAGGCGGGCGGTGATGAGCACGTGGCGAGCGGCACAGCCTGCGAACGCGGAGACGATGGCGGGGTCGAACTCGAGCTTGAGACCGCAGGAGTGAGCCTCGGGGACGAAGTCACCGACCCGCTGGAATCAGAGGTGCTCGAGGAGGACGATTGAATGTGGTAATCCCTGCGGCCCAGCTGCTTCCTCTCCACCGCCGGGAGAGCCTGCGGCGAAGCGAGCATCATCGCCCTCACGCCCGACAAAGCACAGCTGCGGGTGGCTGCGGGGGTCAGCGGCCACGGGTCGATCGTGCGAGCCTCGTTGTACATGTTGTAAGCGGCCGCGAGCACCGAGTAGGAGTGACAGGAAGGGCGGCACAGCCCCCATCTGGACGGGAAGTCAAGGGCGAAGGGTCGAGCCAGAGCACGACGGAGGGCCGCCAGGAGGAGGAGGAGGAGGAGGAGGAGGAGGAGGAGGAGGAGAAAGAGCACCCTGCCCCCCCCCCCCCCCCCCAGGGGGACATGAACGTCGCCGGCGACTTCGAGGGCGTCTGCGCTTCGGGCAGGCTGGCCGGCCAGCAGCCACCGAGGGCGGCAGCCGCCTCCCCTCCGCCCCGCCGCGCCAAGACCAAGGCAGGAGGAGCACAAGTTCCCAAATGTCCAGCGACATGTTTTTTCTCGAAATTCTGGAAATTAGCGTTTTGTCTTCTCTTCGTGGTGCAACAGGGGACGGCGACCACAAGAAACCTTCCACAAGAAACCCAACCCTGAGACCCCAAGGCGTCCATTGAGTTTTGGCGTGGGAGCGTCGCGCTTTCCACAGCAAAACCATCGAAACCCAAGAAACACAGGGCACTCTGGAGGCAAGCGGGGTGTTTCTTGACATGGGCCCTCACTGCACAAGTGCCCGCATTTCCAACGAGATGTTTTCGAAATTCTCAGAACGAGCGTTTTGTCCTCTTGTTCGCGACAGCGGCCGTTGCCGGCCCTGGCCGCCCCGCCCTCCCCCCAGCGACGTCACGACTCGTGTTGACCTCCGAAGTGCCTTTGGTTCTCCCTAGACGCTCCCTGGCCATCGCTCGGACGTCCATTCCCTGTGTTTTTTTTTCCGGTTTCGTGCGTGCTTGTTTCGCAGGATGATCCAGGATGCTCCTTAATCCGCCGGCCCCCTTGCACGTGCTGTACATTTCCATTTACCCACTTGGGGTAATTTGTATCTGCGGTAAGTGCGGGGCGTATTCGGAGGCAGGGAACCTCCGGGGCTTTCAGCGAGATTGCCTCGTGGAGTTCACATCGCCTGACGCCAAGTACTCGTGGCAGCGTTTCAGCCGCCGCCAACACCCCAATCCCACCAGCCCTTTGGGCGTGAGTGGTTTAGAGAGCCCGCTCTGTCCTCAACCCCCCTTCTTCCCCTTCGGGGAGGGTTTTACCCCTCCCCCTACCTCCTCCCCCTGGACCTGGAGAGGGAGTTCCGCGGGTCGTCAGGGGGGTCTTTTTCGACGTCTGGGAGGGCCAAAAAACGACGACCCTCACGAGGATTCTGGCCCCGAGGGGGGGGGGGGAGTTTGGTGCCTCAGCTCGTCTTTGAAGCCAAATCATTGATTTTACTACGGTTTTGGCCCCATTTTGGCCTCCTGAGGGGGCCGCGCTCATCTTCCTTCATAGCAAAATCATTGATTTTACGAAGGTTTTGGGCTCATTTTGTCCTTCTCAGGGGGCAGCTCTCATTTGCGCTTCTGAGGAGGTCGCAAGAGGCCCCAAGATGGCCCCAAGAGGCCCCCAGGAGGCTCCCAAGAGGCCTCCAAGAGGCCCCCCAGAGGCCCCCAAGCGGCCCCAAGAGGCCCCCAAGAGGCCCCCAAGAGGCCCCCAAGAGGCCCAAGAGGCCCCAAGAGGCCCCAAGAGGCCCCCAGAGGCCCCCAAGAGGCCCCCAAGAGGCCCCAAGAGGCTCCAAGAGGCCCCCAAGAGGCCCCACGAGGAGCCCGAACGACTCACACCAGGACGAGGGGCCCGAACGACTCACACCACGAAGAGCCCGAACGACTCACACCACAAGAAGGGGCCCGAACGACTCACACCAGGACGAGGCGCCCGAACGACTCACACCACGAGGAGCCCGAACTCACACACGAGGAGCGCTTTCTCTCCCTCCTCCTCCGCCTCGTCCTTCTCCCGCTCCCCCCACAAGGAGGATGTACAAGGAGGCGGAAGGAAGGAGGAACAGGGGAGATATGCGGGGCCAAGCGGACACACGCCTGAAAAACACGACTGTCGGCATGCTTCGCAAGAGTTGCTGCTGTGAGATGGGCTGGTGGGGATACGCGAAGCGTAAAGAATTCCAAGAGAGGTCCAGCCTTTTACCTGGAAGAATATATGCCGATATCGGCTTTGCTTGAACCGTAGTTATCCTCCCTCCCCCTATCTTCCCCCGCCCAGCCCTTGTGCAAGCATCAGTCACATTTGCAGCGGTACGACCACAGCTATGGGCTTAGACTTGTTTTCGTTAGCTGCCGCAGCGACGTCACTAGCAAGGTGCCAGAAAAGACCCTGCCACGATCGTCTGTCCTCACAGGAGCCTGCGCATCCTCTGGGTAAGCAGGCTATCGGCCACGCGGCGGGGACAGATGCCTGTCCTCACGCTTGATTGCGCAAACTCCGTGTACCCACGTCCATCTCCTTGGCTGCGGCCCCGGCAGCCCGCCCCCCCCCCCCCCGAGCGGCGCGCCGTCCCGTGACCCACTCTCCCACCGCTGCGACCGTCATTCGCCAACTCTGTCTTCCATGCCTGATCCTCTCTCCCCCGCTTCTTTCTGTTGCCGTCCTCCTCCTTGCTCCACTCCCAACTGTTCCCTGCCTCCCCATCCCCGGCCCCCCCCTCCGATATGGTGCGGGGGGCGCCCCCAACTCTGCTACACCCCCCCGACGCCAACGCTGTTCAAACAAGCCGGCGCGTTGTTCGCTGCGTCTATCCTGCCCGTCACTTTCTCGCAATCGCTCGGTGTCTAGTTAAGCGAGGCCCTGGGCTGCTCACTCAATGCTTGCGCCTCGGTTTCGTCACAACCTGTAGGGGCGAATGCTGGGCCCCCTGTGTTCCAACACGGAGGGAACAGAGCGCAACGGTGTGGATGTAAGAATTTGGCGGGGCACTCGACTGAGGACCTATTCTAAAATACCTTTGAGCAGGTCCACACCCGAGCAGATAATAACGGATGGGCCGGCACGCCCTTCCGAGCCGAGTGCGGCCTCCGGCACCATTTTGGCTCTAGCCACTGGTGCTGGATTTGCTCGGCCTTTTGCCCGCTCCCACCCTGGCAGAATCAGGGAAGCTAGGGGGAGCGCCGAGGTGGTCACCTCGGTAAGGGCAGACGGCTGCCTGTCGGAGGGGCCCTCGCGGCGGCGGGACGTCTGCAGCCACCGGGGGGCTCGTCGCATTCCCCGGGCCGATCCCCGACATCAGCAGCTCCGTCACAGGGTTATGCCTACCCTTTTAAGGGCATCTGCACTACACTACAGTCCTCCTCCTCCTCCTCCGCCTCCTCCCCCCCTCCTCCTTCCATCCTGTGCTCGCTCTCCTCCTCCTCCTCCTCATTCTTCTCCCCTGCTCCTCCTCCTCCTCCTCCGCCCTTCATCTACTCCTCTTCCTTCATCCCTCCTCCTCCTCCGCCTCCTCCTACCTTCTTCTTTTCTCCTCCTCCTCCTCCCTCGTCCTCCTCTCCTCCCTCTCCTCGTCCTCCTCCTCCCCCTCCTCCTCCTCCTCCTCCTCCTCTTCCCCCTCGTTCGGTCGTTCGTGGCCTTAGGGGCAGAGTCTGGGTCACACGCAACCACAGCAGAGAGCTGCAGAGAGATAGAAGAAAAAGGGAGGCAGCGGTCGCGGGAGCGGCGCGTCCTCCACGTGCATCTCCATGTCCCACCCCCACCCCCATACAAGGCCCAATACCTCTGCTATTAGGTGATTTGATAGGCCCAGTCCACGAGGGGCACATTCGGAGTGAAACGAGCACCATCAGGCCCAGGTGGAAAACGGCCAGTTGGAGTCTCTCTTTGGAGTACAACGCGGGGACCAAACTTGGACAAGGGACTTAGGTGGGGGGTGGTAAGCAGTCTTAGCTGCACTGTCTCATGCACACAAGTACTTCGAATGCAAGCATTCGAGAAAAGCAGCGCCCCCTTCCTTGTGTGATTGCGAGTTAACGTGCCGCGCACAGAGAACCCCCCCGCTCAAGTTACGGCAAGAGTAGGTGCTGCGGACACCCTTGAGGGGTACAGAAGGAGAAGAATGGCTCACATGCCTTTCCGAAGCGGTACTGCGAGAGTCTAAGGTGCCGCGCACACCACTGGTAAACAGGTTAAGGAGGTGACGTCCTTGAGTAATCCCTCCCGCGCTGAAAATCGACGTAAGGGTCCAGGGGGCACGAAGTATGGGGCAATATCCTTGGCAAGGCCCCCGGGGGCTCAGAAGGCGAGTCAAACTGTCTGGAAACGTCCTCGAACAAACACTCAGCCAGAAACCTGCAAAACTCAGGGGGGAAGTTTGGGCTCGAGCTGTGCGCCATTCACCAAAATCTTAGACTCCCCTCCAAGACGCTAGCATGGACACGGTGCTGGCATCTCCCCCTAACTGGCAGCTCCCTGAGAATACGTCACATGGCCAAGTTGTGGACAGCAAGAAGTCACGCGGGTTTTTTTCGCAGACTGTCCGAAAGCACAGTGGTCCACCCTGCGCCAAACCAGGCTGCCCGCGCAGCTTCCTGAGAACGGGGAGCTGCCAGCTAGACGGGGCACTTTTCTCTGTGGTCAGCCTCGGCTGGGTGTTCCATGATCGCTGGGAGCCCAAACTTCCAAGCCGAAATCAGAAACTCAATTGTGTCTCTCAAAAGGCCACTTCCCGTGTCCACCTGCGCCCCTTCTCGGGGGGTATGAACGCTAAGCCCCGTGACTCGTCAACAGAGCGCAGCGGTCAAGGGCACGGTCTCCCATCCTCTATCTGATTGTGGCGAGCAGGACTCTACGTTTCGCACGGGGGCCCCGCGATCACAGCTGCAACCCACCCCTTGGCCATAAGGCCTTTCCAGAACGAGACCGCGTCAGGATGAGTGAGGTCACCGAAGGAGGGGGCGTGGGTGATATCCACAGGAAGAACCACCAGTGGGGTGGGGTGCTGCTCGATCATCTTCTCAATGCAGAACTGCAGATCTCCCTCCCTGGGAGCGGGGCAGAGAAGGGAACAGGGGGCGGTGGGGGAGGAGCATCTACTGGAGCCAGGGGCTCTGAGGTCACAGGGTCCCCACCCACAACTCTCAGACCCACAGGGGGTCCAAACACCCGTCTGGGAGGAAGATGTGCGCAATCATCTTCAAGGCCTTTGGCATGGTTTCTTTTTGAAGCAAGCGCCTAGCCTCACGGGCCTACGACACTTCCCCGTCAGAAGATCGGACACCAGCAGCAAGCAAACCCCTGAGACAGGGCTTGGCCGTTGCCAAATGTTTGTGAAGTCGCCCATTGGACCTGGAATCCCACCGACAAATGCCACACTTCGTGCGGACAGCCATACATGCAGGCGTATGCTTCTGAGGATGGGCCTTTCCTCGATGCGACTTCAAATGCCTGGGTGAGACAAAAGTTTGACCGCACTCGTAGCACATGTACCTGCGCTCGGGCTCCGCAATTGGCTCCTGCATGACGGTGCCCTCTACCGCCTGCACGACCCGTTCCTCCCACATGATGTGCCGGTGTCGGTCTGACCACCACGTTCTGGATTTCGCGATGGTAGCCAGCAGGAGGGAACGAAAGCGTGGGGTGGCGCCTCCTCCTCTTCCTCCTCCTCCTCCTCCTCCTCCTTCTCCTCCTCCTCTCCCTCCTGCCCCTCCATCTCCTCCTTCTCTTCCTCCTCCTCCGCCTCCTCCTCCTCCTCCTCCTCCCCTTTCTCCCCCTGCTCCTCCTTCGCCTCCTGCGTCGTTGGCCTGCTCGTTTGCGTGGTACCGAACCGACCAAGCGAAGCAGGGGTGCCATAAAACTGCTGCGCAAGCCTCGTGCCCCGCCCCGCCTCCACGGCCCTGCCCGCCGAGGCCCGCGAGAGGCGGGGGCCAACGCAGGCCGATCTGCCTACGCACCCTTCGCGCACTGTGAGCTGGGGGAGGATCGGCAGCGTCCCAAAGGGGGGCGTCCAAGGGGGGGGGGTGCAAATCGTGGCCCGAGGCATGTGCGCGGCCCAGGGGGCGGCCGCGGACGTATCGAAAGAAAGACGAGGCGCCATGAAATCTGGGGAGATATCATGGCCCCCGCCATGATACCCACCCCCACCTAGTCATCACCCCCCTCTTGACACCCCCCCGGGAGGCGGGGGAAGGGGACGGGCTCGCGAAAGGAACTGATCCTTGCGTTTGGAGGCGGCTGGGGTCTGAACTGGAATGGACCCTAGAAAATGGCCCAGGAGGGAAGCATGATGCCAAATCCGCTCAACATCGGTCCCCCGGACCCCTCCTGGGGTCCATTCTGGTGCCATGTGTCGCCCCAGATCCGCTTCTGACAGTCCCGGGGCACGAGAACGACTCCCGAAGTGCAGAGAAGGGCAACAAAATTTGGAACCTCCAACCTGCCCGCTATTCCTGCTCGCAGGAACCAGTGCTGGGCTAGCTCTGGGGGAGGAGGAGGAGGAGGAGGAGGAGGAGGAGGAGGAGGAGGAGGAGGAGGAGGAGGAGGAGGAGGAGGACAGGAGGAGGAGGAGGAGGAGGAGGAGGAGGAGGAGGAGGAGGAGCAGGAGGAGGAGGATGGCTCCGACCTTGCCCGCTCCTCCTTCCTCCTCCTCCTCCACCCGCTCGGCCGGCCCCACCGTCTGCGCCCCTGACCCCCTCGGGCCCCGCCTCCATCGAGGGCACGGCCGGCGCGCGCGCGCGCCTTGCCTGGGCCCCCCCAGGGGAGGGACGGGCTTGCGCGGGGCCCGGCGACGAAGGCGGGAGGCAGGCGCGGCACGCCGCAGCGGCGGCTGAGAGCGAAGGGGTGCGTCGCGGGGTGAATGGCGGGGTGGGTCGCGGGGGGATCGCGGGGACGACGACGACGCCGACGCCGACGACGACGGCAACGACAGCAGTCATTTCAACAAATGTCGCTTTTACCTGCTCGCGTGCCGTTCAGCATGTATACCCCAAGCCCTCGATACCCGCCCTCTTCGTCTTCGATCGTAGCCCCCCGGAAAGTGCAACTATCTTCCTGACCTGCCACGTGTAGTTGGCGCAGCCCCTAAAACAGAAGAAGGGAGGGAGGAAGAAAGAGACAAGGAGGACTTCTCCTTGTCTCTTCCCACCTCCCTCCCTTCTTCTGTTTTAGGGAGAATTTCCTTGTCTCTCCCCTCCTCCCTCCTCCTTGTTTCTTCCCTCCCCCCTCCTCTAATCTCGACAGAGATTAGCAGGAGGGGGACTCGGAGCAGGAGCTCCAGCGGCAGAACCAGACCAGACGGGCAGGTCGGGCAGGCGGGCTCAGACGGTCGGGCCGAGCGGGCGGGTCGCTGAAGCATCAATCCTGCATGAATCGCAAGGAGGTCTCGAGCGATAGCGCGGTACCCAAGTAAATCGTGAAGTCCAAAGCGAAAGCGCTACTCCTGAGTATCGCGGGCGCGGCATATGAGTAAACTTCAAGGCAGTCCCGCGCGAGAGAGCGATTCCTGGATAAATTGTGACGAAGTCCCGCGAGAAAACGCGATTTTGAATAAACCCTGAAGAAATATCAGGCGGGAGCCGCTGTTGTGGTAAACCGGGGGCCAGCACCATGATCTGACGCTCAAAACTCCCAACGGTAAAAAACAAAAAACGGACGCGGCCGTCGCTGCAACGCCCGTTGCAGCCACCGGCCCGAACATGAACCCTGTGCTTCGGGCGCTTCCCATGCGCTGTGAGGAGCCTCCGAGGGCCATCTAAGGCTTCCCCGGCGGTTCCCAAAGGCTCTCCGGAGTGCCACCTGATATTCGAAGATAATGTTTCCAATCCGCGGGCCCCAGAGGTTACGACCCCCGCGCTGGGGGAATATGTCGTCCTGGGCTCATGTCTGATGGCCCAGAACCGGCCCCCTGAAGCCGAACGCTACCTCATGGGAAGGAGAGAGAGAGAGAGAGAGAGAGAGAGAGAGAGAGAGAGAGAGCGAGAGACAAAATTAGCCTGGCGACGGACCCAACCATATGCAGCTGTGAGCACCGCTATTGTGAATATCTTCTTCGGTGGCGAGCCCTATGGGGCCACCAACCGTGTGGGGGGGTGCCGACATGTGCGGCCGGGTACACGACACGAACGGAAGACGATCGGCCTGAGTATGAAAGCTTGAGCGCGGGTGAATCTGAGCGCGAGAGAGTGTGATTATGAATGAGTATGCGTGCGATTGATTCCACTTGCATGACTGCGAGCATGGATTCGCCTAGTGTTAATGCACGCGAATGTGAATGGTCGGGGTCTGCCTGACTCTGAAAACTCGCGACACTGAACGTGGCCTCCGCAGGCAGCTTCCCCAGGAACCCCGACGGCAGCGCCCGCGCGCCGCGACGCCCGCGTCGGCGCGCTCCACACGAGGATCGCGCCCGCTTCCTCCCCTTCTTTTCTTTCCTCTTTGCCCGCGCACTCCAAAGTCCAAGGCTGCGGGCGCAGCGCAAGGCGGAGGCCTCGCGACGCGCGCAGGTCGCCCCGAAGGGGTCACAGTGACGCGCGCGGTTCGTCCGCTGTGCGGGGCATACAGCGCTTGCTGGCTAACTGATAGCGCGCGTGGCTCTGGCCGCTGGACAAGCGGTGAAGGGCGGGCGAGGCGCTGGGCAGAGCGCAGCGCGGAGTTTGCGCGACGCGCGCTGATCGCCCCGAGAGGGCCCCAGCGACACGCGCGAGTCGTCCGCGGCGCGAGGCCAAACAGTCGGACAGCCAAGAGAAGGCGCGGCTGGGGCGGGCCGCTCCTCAGGTCAGGGCTCGCGGATAAACCCGGTGAAGCCGAGCTCCCTGGCGAGGGTCGTCGCCTCCCTCCAGCACCGCTTCGTGCGCGCCGCAAACTGCTCCAGCTGCTTACGCAAGCCCTCCGGCGGCCCGGCCAGGAAGAACTCGATGCGCGGCGCCCGCACGAGCAGGAGGTCCTCGTGGCGCGTGGCGCGCGAGAGGCGCGCGCACGATGTCCGCCCTGCGCCTTTCTAGCGCTTCTGCCACTTGCCGCCGTTCCCCCCTGCGTTGCCCTTGCTCCCCCATCCTGACCAGGAGTTGGCCTTGTCCCACGCGTCCGGCCGATCCTTGCCCTTGCCCTGGCCCTTCTGGGCCGTCGGCGCGGGGCTCTGCGACGGGGGGCGACGGCGCTTGGGGGTCGTCGGCGTCCGAGACGGACCCGCGCCCCCCTGGCCCGTGTTGGCCGGGGGGCCGCGCGGGGTCCTCTCGTCGAAATCGTACTCCTGCCCCGCCTGTCGCAGCAGCGTCTCGCCCAGCTTGCCGGCCGCGGCGCGCGCCTGAAGCGGACGGGCGCGCGCAGGAGGAGAGGGGGGAGGAAGGCAAAACGGCGATCCTGAAAGCCTGCCAGGCCAGCGGCGGCCTTCTCGGACCAGCTGCGGCGGCAGACCTGGTCGTAGATGATGCCCAGGTGGGCTTTACGACCCTTCAGCTGGGCATGGGCGGACACCCGCAGCGCCCGGCGGGCGCGCGGTCCCGGGCGCGCGACGGTGCTCGCGCGGAGCGCCAGAAGGACAATCTGCTTGTGGGCGAGGGCGGCGGCGAAGTCCAGCTGCCCCGCGGCGGCGGCGGCCAGGGCGCGCCTGCGCCGGCAGTGGCCGGGGGGGCCGGGCGCGCCCGGGAAGGGGGGGCTGAGGCGACGGGCACTGATCGAAAGCGAGGTGCCATTCGGACCAGTTGAGCCAGCGAGCCTTCTTCTCGCCGCCTGTGGGCGCCTCCCCGTCGGCATGCTCGGTGGGGCGCCCCATTCCGGTAACGCCCGACGGGGGCCACTGGTGCAGATCCACGTTGACGAACGGGGCTGCGAGCCCCCTCTTCTTCTGCAGGCGGTCAATCTCGGAGGCGAGGGAATCGATGCGCACCGCCCTGCCGCGGGACGCGCGAGCGGTGCAACACGAGGGGGCGTGCCTGGGCCATGCCGCGGCGGGCAGATTGGCCAGCGCGAAGGCAGCCAGCTTCTGCTGGAAATCGACGTGGACCGTCGGGGAGGTGTCCTTGGACAGGACGCGGGTGCGCTCCGCAAGTGGGTTCGCATCCGCGGCGGCGGAGGCCGGGGCCGGGGCGGCCGCGCCGGTGGGTGCGAACTCGGCTCTCGCAGCCTGCTGCTGAGATGGGTGCGCGGGGCCGGCCACCCCCCTGTGCGCTGCGCGCGGGCCTTGACGGCATGCTCGAGTGCGCGCGCCTTTCCCGAGCCCCGCCTTGGCGACGTCCAGGTACACGAGGGCCTGCGGCGCGCGCACCTGCCAAGCAGGGCAGGGGCGCGCAGACAGCGGAGCGAGCGTCCAGCCGGGCGCGCGGGCGCGGCGGGAGGGGCGAACCTCGGCCGTCAGCAAGGTCGCCTCCAGCCCCTCGGTCCACGCCTTCTCGCCCAGAGCGCCAGGCGGAATCGCATGTTTCAAAAGAAAGGCACGCGTTGCCTCGCGCGCCGCCATCCTGGATGCTTCTCGAACGAGGCCAGAAGGGCGCTCTCTCGCTGCGGGCTGCAGTTCGCGCACTGACGCGAGGCGCCGTTCAACCTTCCTGGGAGGTATCCTGGCCTTGGGGCCGACGCCGACGGAGCCGCCAGCCTCACTCGGAGGCGCCCGCGCGTATCCCTCTCTTCCCGAGGCGGGGACAAAACAACCGAGGATTGGCCCCAAATCGGGCGCTCGCCGCTGGCGCCAACCCTGGGTCCCAACTGGGCCCGCCGGTCACGTCTCATGGGGCGTGCCGGCCGGGGCAAGGCCCCGCGGGGCCCGGAACGCAGGGCCCCCAGTCGGGGCCGTGGCGTTGCAGAACTGGCCCCCAATCGGGGCCGCTGCTGCTGATGCAAACCCCCGGACCTCAATCGAGCCCGCCGGTCGCGCCTTATTGCGCGTGCCAGCCGGGGCGCAGGCCTCCTGGGCCCTGGGCGCGGGACCCCCAGTCGGGGCCGTCGCATTGCCTCGCGCATGGCCCCGGCTGAAGCGTCCTGTCAGGAGCAGCGCGGGCCCTCAGTCGGGGCCCGGTGACCTGGGGGCCATCACAAACACCCCCCGGGCAAAACCAATCGGGCCCCAACTGGACACGTCCAGTCAGAATCGCGAGGCACCGGAGGGAAACGAGGCCCTCCGGGGAAGCCCACCCGGGAGCAACCCCGCGGGAGACCGTGGTAAGCGCCAGGGCGGCCCAAAGTTCCGGCAGAGGCCTCCGAGTTGTCTCTCCATCCCTGGTAAACCCTCGCGCCCCCAGCGACAAGCAATTGCGGTCCAGAACGCCAGGTAAAAAGGGGGCCCCCCGGGGAGGGGCCCAGCGAGGAAAAGCCGCCAAGGGCTCGAGCCGCACAGAATCCGGCCCGGCAATCCCGGACTCTTAGCGATCCGGGGGAGCCCTGCCGCAGATCTGCGCGAAGCCCAACATCGGGGCAAAGACAGCTCGAAGCGCACATACCGGTAAAAACACGCGAGGGGGCGGAGCCCCACGCAACCAGGCGCGCAAACGCGACAAAAAAAAAAAACCCGAGAGCCGCGAAACGGACCGCGCGATCCCAGCGGCGGCGACGAGGGCACAGAGGCCGGCGGCGGCCCAGCAGCCAACCGGAGGCACGAGGCGCCCAGCACCCCACCACCCCCCGGGATCCGGAGGCCAACGGGACCCGCCCGACCGGGTGGGGGGGAGAAGGGGACAGGGCGGCGGAGGAGTCGAAGCCCCGAAATCACCGAATCAGCCGGACCGGCGGACCAAATCGCACAAGAACCTGGATCATGGGAGGAGACAGGGCGCGAGAGGGACAGGCAGAAGGCCATGGGAAGGGGCGAGACCACAGAGAAGACGAGAACAAGAGAGAAGTGAAGAGAGAAGAAGGGAGACGAAGAGAGAGAAGAGAGAAAGAGAAGAGAGACAGGAGAATAAGGAAGAGAAGACAAAAAGAAAGGCG